CCAATTTATAGTCCACATTGTACTGTCTGTAAAATCAGTTATCAGAATAAAAACAGAAAAAAGATAATAAGAACAACCTAAACTAATCATCAGTGACATGCAGATGCAAATGAGAAGCTTCAGTTTGTTCCAAGAGAAAAGCGATCTTACTTTTGACCCGTCTCCAGCGGGATTCCCACAAGAACCAGTGCTGCGTTCCTCCAGTCCTCCTCTTTCTCATAGAGTGTGGCTAGATGCTGTCTGATCGAAGCCACCTGGAAGTGTATGAGATTGGCTTATACATGATCCACATGATTCCAGCATTGATCTGAGAGTATTTTTACCTGTTCTTCAAATGAGATGACTCTGGGCTGGATCTTCTCCAGGGTGAAGTGGCACACGGCTTTCGCAGTGCCGTCTGGCAGGTTTTGAAGGTGCGTGCAAAAGTCTGTCAACAGCTGTCTGGATATGACCAGGCTGACGTTCTCATTGACCACTGCGCAAGTGTGAGAAATAGCGAAGCTCGTCAATTTAGATGATGTAATACGTTCTCATATTAAGCGGATTCTATTCTATTAATATCGCCAGACTAGCATATTGAATATTAGTGTACTTACTCGCTTCAACAAATGCTTTCAGTGCCTCAAGTTGTTCTGCATCAGTAAACTGAAGAGCCTTTTCTAATATTTGACGATATCTGTCAAAACAGTGCACAAAAACACATTCATTAGACTACGAATTATTAGAATTGTTTGCAAAAAAAGAAGCAAGTGCTGTTGGGGGCAGGGCATGTTAACTCTAGAACATTTGATTGGACAAAACTTTAAATACGCCCCTACATGCAACATGAGTCATCAATATATTTGGTCTTTTTAACCAGAAAAGAAAGACTGTAAAATATTGTGTATGTCTGATGAAAGACCATTTTGTCCACCTTTAGGTACACACGAGCATATAAATTACCTCAACGCAAACAGACATTAACTAAAAGTCTCCATGTTTCATTTCATTGCGTCTTTAATTCCGTAAATAAGTGCTATTTAAGCTAACTTCTTGTCATTACTCCAGCCCTTGCAAAACGTACCATTAAATCCATAAATGCATTATCATACGAATATTTATTAATGATTCTAATAACTACTAACCATTAATAATAGCGATTTTGTACTATAACATATTTCGATAGTTATAAAAATAATAATCTAGGCCTATGCATGTTGACAGGTAACGTTAGATCATCTGCTCTGCATATCCTCACGCTAGCTAAGTAACGTTAGCCTGTACTCATCTCATCTGCAGCATCACATCTTTCATACAAAAAAAACAGACATACAGTAAGTAACAATTCGAGTAAATGACTTGAAATGACATACTTCCCAGCTAGATCTTTGTGAGACCCGCTAGAGTTCATCAGCTGCGCGAGCTCCTGCCTCACGCCGGACGCCATTTTCCTCTGCGCTCACAACAACAGCGCGAGCCGCTAGAGTGCGCCACTCCATCTATTCCAATCTTCTTCTTCTTCTTCTTCTTGTTCAATGGCCGTTCACTCGGAGTATTACCGCCACCTACTGTATATCTTGCGCACATGGGTGATGAATCTGTATTGCTATCAAGAAAACTAAAAAATAAATACATTTTGTAATGCCCCACCCACCCCAGAAGATGCATGTTCAGCATCCTCAAACACTAAATCCTGTGGTCTAGTCCTGTAAGCTCTAAAACTGTTAAAACCACCTTAAATATCTGATTATCACCCAAACCCTTTCCCAGAAGGTCCACAACGCTCACTGGCCTGTTCCTTATGTTGCTAAAAAGATTATGTCGCTGAACATCATATTTACTACATTTAAAAAGCACATGCTCTGCTGTTTCAAAAACATCACATTCATCACACATACCGTTTTCATGCTTCCCCATTAATGCAAGTGTTGAATTTAGTCCTGTGTGACCCATCCTTAATCTAGAAATCATTACTTCTTCCTTTCTGTGCCTTCCATAAAACTGTTCTTTTTTCGCTATACTGATTTTACAATATTATAACACCACCTACCTGTGCTGTTATTTTCCCATCTTTGTTGCCATATTCTTATTATTTTCCTGTTAATCACTGATTTTATCTAATTTCTTCCCAGAGGTACCTTAACATCCACCAAGTTTTTCTTTAATGCTTCTTTTGCTAACTTATCCGCTGTTTCATTCCCTAATATCCCAGTATGTGCCGGTACCCAACAAAAGATACAATTATACCCTCTATGTTCAGTCTGTACAGTAATGTATACATTTCTACTAGCAGGTCTTCTCTATCAGTTTTTGTCGACAGTATACTTTTAAGAGTTGATGAAGAATCTGAGCAAATTACAGTCGGAGTCCTATTTGGCTTAATCTGTTACCCACTGCAATCCTACTATTATAGCAGTTAATTCTGTAGAATATACGGACAATTTGTCACTTAACCTTAAACTTATTTTCGTCTTAAATCTTGGAATGTACACTCCTATGCCCACTTTTTGTTTGATTGGGTCTTTAGATCCATCTGTATAAATCTGTATAGAATAATACAATTTCTCTCATAAAAACATTGATTTCATAACTATTAGTATATCTTTCTTCTGCTTTTTCCCGGGCCTCCAACGATCTCATTTCAACAATAGGTCCAGGGATATTCATACCGATACCCCATTTAATGGCATGTTGGGACAGATTATACTTCATTCTCCAGACCACAATCCTTGACCCACTGTTCATACTTCCAACCAAAACTATTCCCTCCATTCTTTTTATATTCCCAACAATCATTTAAAATTGTGCGTGTACGATGACTCTTATTACTACCCTGTAAATTAACCCAATACATCATCCCAAGCTTTTCTCTTCTTAAATCTAATGGCATCTCCCCCATTTCGACCCTGATGGCATCTAGAGGAGTTGATCTTATTGCTCCACAGCAGATTCTAAGTGCTCTGGACTGTATGATGTCCAGTTTCTTTAATTCTGATTTTGCTGCAGCACCATACACTGCACACCCATAGTCTATACTAGACCGTATTAAGGCTTGATATACATGAAACAGTGCACTTTTTCTTGCTCCCCATTCATACTTTTATTAATTTATTACTCCTTTGCATTTGTTTTCCGTTTTCTTAATATGTCTCTTCCAAGTTAATTTCTCATCGAAGATATTTGAACTCTTGTCACTCTTTCTAGCAATTGATCATAATTTCATAGTCATTTGTTCCATTTTCCTTTTCTTTGTAAAAACCATATATTGAGTCTTTGATACCGAAAACTTCAATCCCCAATCTACTGACCACCTTTCAACTTCATTTATTGATTCTTGTATTCCTTTAACTACATTTCCTAAATCCCTACCTCTTTTCCATACTGCGCCATCATCTGCATATAACGCCTTCCCAATGCTTGGTTTAACTCTTTCAAATATATAATTAATCATTAAACGAAATAAAATTGGGCTGATTACACTTCCTTGTGGAGTCCCATTCAGGATATCACACCATGCTGACATTTCTTCACCTATTCTTACCTGGAATGTACGCTCAAACAAAAAATGTAATATCCAATTATTCCCCCGTTCTCATTGACCACTGCGCAAGTGTGAGAAATAGCGAAGCTCGTCAATTTAGATGATGTAATACGTTCTCATATTAAGCGGATTCTATTCTATTAATATCGCCAGACTAGCATATTGAATATTAGTGTACTTACTCGCTTCAACAAATGCTTTCAGTGCCTCAAGTTGTTCTGCATCAGTAAACTGAAGAGCCTTTTCTAATATTTGACGATATCTGTCAAAACAGTGCACAAAAACACATTCATTAGACTACGAATTATTAGAATTGTTTGCAAAAAAACAAGCAAGTGCTGTTGGGGGCAGGGCATGTTAATTCTAGAACATTTGATTGGACAAAACTTTAAATACGCCCCTACATGCAACATGAGTCATCAACATATTTGGTCTTTTTAACCAGAAAAGACTGTAAAATATTGTGTATGTCTGATGAAAGACCATTTTGTCCACCTTTAGGTGCACACTAGCATATAAATTACCTCAAAGCAAACATTAACTAAAAGTCTCAATTTTTCATTTCATTGCGTCTTTAATTCCAGACAGAGTTCAAATATCTTAAACGTTTATTGTTAACTGTATATTTATAAGTGATGCCATGTCATAATAACTGATTGCTTGAGTAAAAGTAATTTACTTGACCAGTAAACATGAGTTTTGATTCAGAATCCAAATGAACATAGGAATTAGCTTGATATGATGACAAAACAAACAAAACTGTAACGTTTTTTTAATCAAATCTTATTCGATATAAATAATCAATCATCTTTCTGCGTACGATACTGCACGGAAGTTGTGGCGTGACGTCATTTGTTGTTTCCTGCGAAGGCGTGGCTTGATTATGGGATGTTAGAGGTGAAATGGCGCTCGGCGCGGTATTTTAAACAATCGTCTTCGTCTGAGAGCGGATGATCGACGCGATGCAGCGCCGAGTTGGACTTAAGAGTGCGTGATCGAGAGGAAAACCTTGAGGATTTCAGAAGAGCGTCTGGACACTCATCTCGAGCGAGCGTAAGAAGTGCTTTGAGCTCGGGTGTGTGTTCAGCGAGAGGCAATATGATCTGCGCTAGTTAGCCGAGCTGCTAGCAGTGTGTGTGTGTGTGTGTGTCAGCTCGCTCCAGAGTGCGTCACACGCCCAGCTATGATCGCTGCTAATGTCTGGGGAACTTCTGCATCACAAACCAAACACGGGCAAAGCTTAATAGTGTTAGTTATTAGCTGCTAACTGGTTAGCACCCGAGGCTATACCTGACAGTCAATGACAGCGAGCTGCTGGCCCTACGCGCCTGTCATACTCATCTTTAGAGTTTTATTCTGCATAATCATTGGTTCACAGCATTGTTAGTTGCATTTAAAACGTGAGATTTTAATTTGTATATTAAAATTAATTTATATATATATAAAATAAAAGATATAATTTTGTGGCAGAGTGACGTGGTCCTCTCATGTTGCCTTTTGTAATTAAACCGATAGTATTTTGGTTTTAAACTGTGTAAGTTTGACTTTTTGCGCTCAGGATGTTTGTTTTATGTTTGCACAATATGCACTGATTCGGGTAATGGAAATAATTATCAATATTAAGTATTGTTGATGCACTTCTGTTTTCTAAACCGTAGTCGCTTTATATATACATATCGTCGACATGAAGCTTTAAAAGAACTACGTGGCTTTCGTTTGAGGGACAGTCTCTTTAATGTGCACGAGTTTGCAATATTACATTTTAATTTTATATACATGTGATTGTACCAATTCATTTGAACTCAAATAATACAGGTGCACGAAGGTGAAGAGAAAATTGCAAAACCTGTTGTTCAAAACCTGTATGGCTTCTTTTTTGTCTGTGGAAGACCAGAAAGATGTTTTCAAGCTGACAAAATCAATCCTCACTCATTAAACTGTACGGAAAAATATGCACTGATAGTGAATGGGAACCGAGGCTGATAAACATTTTCTGTTTCAGTGAAGGAAAAGTTATGCGGGTTTGAAACGAATAACGACAGATTAAGATTTTTAAGTCTCAAAAGGATAATTGTGAACGTCGTTTGTCTGTTCTGCTCCTCCTTTGTGTGACAAAACAACAAATCCTGCTGTTTTCTGCCGCTGTTTCTCGTGTCTGAACTGATGACGAGATGAAAATGGCGGATCTTTCGAAATCTAACCCCGGCCTGAAATAGATAACTCTCTTTAACAGCAGACAAACATCCCTGTCTACAATAACGCGTATGAATGCCTTGTAAATAGAGATATTTCCATGGCAACAGGATAGACAGGAAAGCAGGCGCGTCGAATATCAACAAACTCCGTCTGATGTGAAACTGACAGACGGTCTTGTTTGGGTTCACTGAATGAACTGTTGAGGTAAAGGATTAAGCACGGATTGTTATTGTCAGGCATATCCAGAGGCCTGCTGTTGTTTCACGGTGTTTAAAACGGCTGTAAAAGTGTTGAATGTTACGTTTGAGCGACTAAACGCATGCATAAAAGTGTTTGTTTGTTTTGAGTGTGGATGGTTAAGCACGATTTCTTAAGCGCACGTAACTGCTGTCAGTATTGTCAGTTTTCTGAAGCACAGCCTGGCTAGTTCATGATGTTAGCTGTGACAAAAATATAATTGTATGTTAACTGCTGGTTAGCTCCTGTGCTAGTTAGCCGCATAGCAGCTGAGTATAAACAGCCCGTCCACACTGAACGCGAGAGTGACTGGAATGAATGGGAGCGGTCCTGTCGCGTCGCTCGCAGTTTATAAAGTGTTTGGTAAATATGGACATTTAAATGGCCCGCCAGTTGATTGTAGCGGAATATGTGACATAACTATTATGCAGCTATGTTTGATATAATGGGTTGGGCTAGTAGTTTCAATCCAAACTGCTACATAAACAACAAAATTGGTAACAGTTGTTCTCAGTACAGTACATTTCAGTGTTTATAAATGCTGTGTAGACATGTTGAAAAGGAAAACATGGTTCCCACAAGCCATGTAAATTCAGAGTATATTTATCTTGTTTTCTTTACCCAGAAAAAAGTCAATAGAATTATTGCAAGTCTAAAGTCATGGAGATGATTTATGGAAAATATTTGGAAAAACTCTAAAATATTAATATAATGTCATATATGTTAGTATATATACTAACGATAACTGTATGTATGTGTGTGAATAGCCAAAAATACATTGTATGGGTCAAAATTATTGATTTTTCTTTTATGCCAAAAATCATTAGGATATTAAGTAAAGATCATGTTCCATGAAGATATTTTACAAATTTCCTACCGTAAATGTATCAACTTAATTTTTGATTAGTAATATATGCATTGCTAGAACCTCTTCTGGACAACTTTAAAGGCGAATTTCTTATTATTTAAATTTTTTTTTTTTGCACCCTCAGATTCCAGATTCCTTATTTATTTTTATATAAATCTCAATTTCAAAAAATCTACCTTTATGACTGGTTTTGTGGTCCAGGGTCACACACACACACACATGCATTTTATATAGTTTATTATTTGTAAAAAGGCAACATTATATATACACCCACACGTGTGTTAATAATATTAAAAAGAAGATATATAGTTAATGTTTATATATAATGTTAAACAAAATGAAATATATACATTTTATATAGTTTTACTTTAAATGTAAGTACATAGTTGTTAAGGCCACTTAATATAAAGTGGGTCCAGTTTTACTATATTATATAAAAAAAGATTCTATTCTGCAAAGATATTTTAGAATTTGACATTGTTACTAAATATTTATATTTCAAATAAATGCTGTTCTTTTGGACTTTCTATTTGACAAAGAATCCTGAAAAAAATGTTTCAACAAAAATATTAAGCAGCACCACTATTTTCAACAGTAACAATATAAGAAAACATGTTTCTTAAGCAGCAAATCAGCATATTAGAGTGATTTCTAATAGCCTTGGTGAAAATGAGCTAGTTCTAAAAAAAATTGAACTGTGGTGTACTTGCAATACATTTACACTGTTTCAGTAATATAGTCTCATCTCTTGTTTGTGGATGTTTCTATGTTTTTACTCATTTAAGAAATGAATTTTTCACTCCCAGTGTGTTTTCAGTAACTTCGTACACGATGGATGTGGTTTCACCTGAGCTCAACAGCCTCCTCCCTGATGAGATTATGGATACGGAAGCCATCGCGATGGAAGAGGAGCTCCCCGCCGAGCACCTCGCTGCTCCTCCCCAATCTGAACCAGAGCCACCGCAGGTTCCTATGGAGACAGAGCTGCCTGAAATCGTCAGCTTGTGTCCAGCCACCACGTCTATGCAGATTACCTCCACCTCCACCGACGCTCAGTGCAGCACCAGCTCAGGAACTCAGCTCCTCCTCGCCCCCTCCGGCCTTATATCCGGCACCACCACCTCTGCCAAAACCACCGGTCCTGCGGTGACTCAGAACCTCCCCAAAATCTCCAGCGTTACTGTCCCGGCCAACCACCAGCTTATCATCAACAAAGTGTCCGGCGCCCCCGCTGCGGTTGGCAAGTCTCCAGGCGCTGCTGTGTAAATAGGTCTGAAGGAAACTTTTGGCTTGTCTCCCGAAGCCACATGAGGGCGCAATGAGCAAAATAATAGCGCATTAAATTGCCAACGCAAAGGAAATAACTGTCTATAAAAAGAAAAACGTGCATTACGTCTAAATTAACTCATATAAATCAAGCATAATTTCATAAATTGAACATTAAAATGCAACAACGTCACTTACATCATCATCACCGCATCTTGCGCTCCACTAATGACGCTCCCAGATGCACACCTAACATTTGATTGTACTATTTTTGCATTCAAATGCAAATGTTTATTTTAAATTCGACTAATTTTTTTTTTATTCACAATCTCCTCATCACGGGCAGGCACAGCACTCAATTCAGCATGTGTTCGTGTTTGTGTGAGCGGTCTGCGTCACTCATAGCACGTGCCTATATATCGTGCGTTATATCGAACATTTTTTCTATCGTTATCAAAGAAGGTGTATCGTCGATAAATATCGATACCGGTTTATCGCCCAGGTCTAGTGTTAACAACCTTTCATTAAAACACTGATCATGCAGACATTGCAGAAATGAAGCATAAATATTACCATTTTATTTTAAGACCCTTGGCCACAGTTTCTTATAATTGTCTAGTTTTTTTTTTGTTTTTAATAAGAAATGCCAAGGTGTTACCTAATATGAAAATCTGTAATTGCTGCAGCTGAGAAGTAGTTAGTCACTTTTTACACTTTGTACACAAGCATGGAAAGAATAGAAAAGGCTTTATATTCGTACATTTTTTTTTTTTTAGTAAGTAAAAATAAATTTTTTAGTGTATTTTTTAAATGTATTATTATTCATAGATACAAACACCTCACCTTTACAGTAGGTGACAACTCACTTTTTTTTTAGATCATTGGGGGGGGGGGGGGCTTACAAGGGTACTTGATTGGGTACTTGTGATCTTACAAGGGTAAATAAAGAACTGGTGCCGGTTGCAGACTGGTCATAACTTTTTATATTCAGTTAAGAAAAGGTAGACTGGTCTTATTTGTATTGGAAAAGTAAGACCGATAACCACTTGGCAACTGCAAGTTTTGTATAGTATTTTCTTTACTAAACTATATCTAAAAAGGGTAATATTTTATGTATTTGAGGTCTGAGATGTGGGAACAGTGAAGAGAGAGGGCAAACATTTTTCATTTTAGGTCAGCATTGCCATCTAATCAGCCAATATTGTCTTAAATAGCCTGTATAGCACTTCATCTTTTATAACATTGGATTTTGACCAAATATATTCAATCTTGATTTTTGTGAAATGTTGCAACAAGATTTTATTTTATTTTTTATTTTACATTTTTTTTGTGTGTGTGAAAATTTCAGTTTTTGACATATAAGGTAATAAAAAATATTTTTCAAAATACCTAACTGCAAATGAGCATGTAAAACAAATATCTTTAAAAAAAATTCCACATGGAGCATGCCCTCGGTTCTCACCTTTTTTCCCCCTTACCTGTTTGCATATCCGATTATTATTTATAGTAATTTTTAAAAATAAAAAAAGGAAAAATGCTATTTTTAATGTATTTTTAATGAGCGGTTTTTGCTTATTATTTATAATTATTTAAAGCCATATTTGTTTTCTTTTAATGCAAAAAATAACTTTTTTTTTTTACTTGTAAGGTAAATGCCTGTTTATAACTTTTTTAATGAATTATTGTTAATATTAATTATCTTTTATAGTCATTTTTTTAAAAGGAAAAAGACTACTGTATTTTTAAAATGTGCAATTATTCTTAGTAATATTTCAAAAAATGTATATTTCAAAATGAGTTATTTTTATAGTATAATTCAAATGAGCTATACTATTTGTTGTTGTTGTTATTGTTATATTACATATTTGTAAATGTTTTTCTATAAGGGAAAATGTCTTTTGTTACTATATGTGACCCAGGACCACAAAACCTCTTTTTTTCTTAAGTGTCAATTTTTCAAAATAGAGATTTATAAATTGATGAATAAACAAGCTTTCCATTGATGTATGGTTTGTTAGGATAGGACAATATTTGGCCGAGATACAACTATTTGAAAATCTGGAATCTGAGGGTGCAAAAAAATCAAAATATTGAGAAAATCGCCTTTAAAGTTGTCCAAATGAAGTTCTTAGCAATGCATATTACTAATCAAAAATTAAGTTTTTATATATTTACGGTATAGGAAATTATGATCCGCACTCACGAGAACAATCTTCTGTTTTCTTTTATTTTACATTCATTACTGATGGGAAAAGATATATTTACGGTAGGAATTTTACAAAATATCTTCATGGAACATGATCTTTACTTAATACTCTAATGATTTTTGGCATAAAAGAAAAATCTATAATTTTGACCCATACAATGTATTGTTGGCTATTGCAACAAATATACCCCAGCGACTTAAGACTGCTTTTGTGCTCCAGGGTCACATATTTTTATAATATATTTATAGTAATTTTTAAAATATCTTTTGTTTTATTTTAAAAACTTATTTTTAAAAATAAAAATTATCAAATAAAAAGAAAATACATTTGTTTAACTGTATTTTTAAAATCATCGATTATATTCAATATATTAACTTATAGCCATGTTTGTACTTTTTTTTTTTTTTTTTTTTTTTTTCTGTAAGGAAAAATGGCATTGGTTAATTTAATTACCTTAAAGTACAATCTTATTTCCTGTTCAGTGTCTATCATGGGCAGCTGAAATAATTGGCA